TGCTGTTGTGGTTGTGGTTGTGGTTGTTGTGGTTGTTGTTGTTGCTGCTGCTGTTGTTGTTGTTGTTGTTGTTCTTGTTGGTGTTGTGGTTGTGATTGTGGTTGCGGTTGTGGTTGTGGTTGTGGTTGTGGTTGTGGTTGTGGTTGCTGTTCTTGTTGTTGTTGGTTGTGGTGGTGGTGATGGTGGTGTTGTTGTTGTTGTTGGTGGTGTTGTTGTTGGTGGTGGTTGTGGGTGTTTTGGTGTTGTTGGTGCTGGTGTTGGTGTTGTTGTTGGTGTTGTTGTTGGTGTTGTTGTTGGTGGTGGTGTTGTTGTTGGTGGTGGTTGTTGTTGTTGTTGTTGTTGGTGGTGGTGGTGTTGGTGTTGGTGTTGGTGTTGGTGTTGTTGGTGTTGTTGGTGTTGTTGGTGTTGTTGGTGTTGTTGTTGGTGTTGTTGGTGTTGTTGGTGTTGTTGGTGTTGTTGTTGTTGTTGTTGTTGTTGTTGTTGCTGTTGCTGTTGCTGTTGCTGTTGCTGTTGCTGTTGCTGTTGCTGTTGCTGTTGCTGTTGCTGTTGTTGTTGTTGTTGTTGTTGTTGTTGTTGTTGTTGCTGGTGTTGGTGTTGTTGTTGGTGTTGGTGTTGGTGTTGGTGTTGTTGGTGTTGGTGTTGTTGGTGTTGGTGTTGTTGGTGTTGTTGGTATTGTTGGTGTGGTTGGTGTTGTTGGTGTTATTGTTGGTGTGGTTGGTGTTAGGTGTGGCGGTGTTAGTGGTGGTGGTGCTGGTGCTGCTGCTGGTGCTGCTGCTGCTGCTGCCGTCATCGTTGTCATCGTCGTGATTGTTTGGCATTGGTTTTGTGTTTGCTTTTGTTCTGTGTGTTGCTTTGCTTAATTGATTGATTGGTTGGTTGATTTGTTGTTTGCTCGATTGCTTTTCGGTTCGTGGCCTGTGTTTTGTTTTGCTTGTTGTTTGGTAGGTAGGTAGGTTGGTTGCTTGATTGTTGTTGTGTCCTCTGTTTTATTTGGTTTGTTTGGTTGGTGGATTGTTTGCTTGATGGTTTTTCTCTGCTTGTTTGTTTGTATGTGTTTGGCCCGTGTTCTGGTTTGCCTTGTTTGTTTGGTTGGTTAGCCGGCTATTTCCTTGATTTGTTGTTTCTGGCCCGTGTCTTGTGCCGATTCTTTGGTTTATTTTGCTTGTTTTTGTTTCTTCTTCTTTTTGGCCCGTGTTTCGTTTCGTTTCTTTTGGCCGGTTGGCTGCTTTTGCCTTGCTGGTGGGTGATTTCTTCGGCGGCGTTCGAGGCCATCGCCTCCTGGTCCCTGGGCTCCCCGATCACCTCGCTGCACAGCACCGAGACCGGGAAGGGGCGCGGGAGCCCGGAGGCGCTGCAAGAGGCGGTGGGCTGGGAAGCGGCAAGCTGCGTTTGAGAACCCAAAGGAGACGCCCTCTCAGGGAAAATGTGGGGGCGCTTGGAAAGCGGCAAGCGTCTGAACCCAAAGGAGACGCCTCGTTTGGAAAAATGGTTTGGATGGTGGAGAAACCACCACTTCCAAGGATATGACCTAGTGGTTTGGATGGCTACGAAACGTCCTTTCATCAGCCAGGGAAGATTTGAGTCATAATCAAAACCCGGTATGAAAATGGTCCCAGAGCCATGCAAAGAACTAAGGCGGCCGCAGCTATTTATGGGATTGTCCCTGACCAACCTTCATCAATTCCCGGGTTTCGATTGTGGCTCATTTGTGGGAGGTTGTGTGTAGGCACTGAGAATGGCATCAGCCCGGCGTTAGCTAGGCTTGTGCAAAGGCTTGCTGTATTGAATTCTTTGCAAGCAGGTGCGGGAACAACGACATTTGCTTGTGGCAGGTTGTTTTTTCATTTCCATAAGGCTCACAGGCTCAAGACCTAGTCATCACGATGGAACTCCTTTCTGCACGCCACTGCATACCAGCTTAGTCAGAATGGATTCAAGAACCGTGTTTGCTTAGTCGTTGCTCGGGGCCAACGGGGCTGCAAAAATGGTCCGCGTCCGAAAGATGTGACGAAGAATGGCCAGATGCGTGAACCGGCGTTTGAATCAATCCGTCAAAGATTTGGTCGCATCATGAATGTGCAGTTCTGGAGGCTGCGCGTGGGCCTCGCTGATGATTCATTTGGCCATGTTTTTGTTGTTTTGCTGAGGTTGCTGAATCACTGGAACTCGCCCAGAACTGTTTTCCTAGTGTTGAGGTCTACTTTCCAGTGCAGGAATGAAGGTCGTGCATGTTTGACCCAGCAATGCCGAGCGGAGCGCATGGGGCCGGCGGAAATGCATTTCCTTGCCGAGTCCTGAGGCACTTGCTGGTGGCTGCCGGGTGCATGAATGGCAAGGTCGCAGCATTCGATTCCACGTAGACTTAGGCAACCAAAAAGGGCGCTGGGCTCCTTCGAAGCCGTCGATGCTCAGCTTTTGGGTTGCTTTAGGCAACCAAGACCTTGGCAGGTCCAGTTCGGATGTACATTGCCCGGATCAATGAACTGGAAACCAAATAGCCAAGCCATCAGTTTCAAGTTCTGAAGGAAAGCCGAGGATTCGATTTGCCAGACGCAAGCTTGTTTTTCTCCATGGCTTCGGTGTCAAGCCCTTGGACTTTATGGACGGCACAGCAAACGGTCATAGAGGTTGCGAGTGGCAATACGTGGCATGACGATCCGAGAGATTCAGAGCGTCGCGAGTTCGCCCGGCCGCTGGTTGTTCATAGGGACACCTGGAGAGAGAACCGGGTATGAGGTAGGGGCAGATCCCAAGATTGCGAGGTCATTTGGTTCTCCAGCATTACAGCGCGCATGAGACATCCGGACCCAACACTCACTCAAAGCTCAGACAATCGCAGCATCCAACTTCCTGTCTGCATTCGGACCCTCCGCGGCGACGGGGTGATCGGGTTCTTGCATAGCGGGAGCGACGCTTAGCTAAGCTGTTCTTCAGTTGGTTTGCACGGATGGATGGGATACTTGGACAGATGCCAGGCTCATCAGCAGGTAGGTTTCCTTCAGAAAGCAAATCTCACCATGGAGAAACTTATCGTTCTTGGTCTCTCCGACGGAAGAAACTGACGCAAGCCGTTGACGGGACTCCGACAATTGAAGGAGTTAACACCTTCAGCCCAAAGCCAACCTTTTGACCCTTTGGTTTTCCAGCTCCAAACGGTGGCAGGGAAGTTCTATTTCCCATCTCCTTGGTGAGATTCTGGCTGGCGCCACGTCTGGACTTTGCACAAGCCACGTACGGAAGTAGTTCCCAATTTCCTCCGATTTCCAAAGTACGCTCTGAGGCTGAGAATGGAGGCAGGGACCATGGCAAGAGCGTGCTGGGTTCGAACGATGCGATCAATTGCCGTTTGTGGAAACGCATCAACCCGCCAGAAGACATTCGACTCTATGATCTGAGTCCACTGAAGAAAGCACAAACATGACACTCAAGCATTGGGGGCGGGGTAGGTTTTGATACATCGGCACATCGCCATTTGAACCGACTTGTGCAGTGTCTACCAAGCCCGTCCTATACCAACCCGAAACCAACGCACCCCTCAACCAGCTCTAAACCCAGCCTCAGCCCCAACCCAGCGCTCAAAGCTGGCTTTGAAAAAGCCTACAGCTCCTCTCTACTCAAGGACTTTATCCCTACTGCGAACTTGGGGGTTCCAAGGACCGGTGAAGGGCGGACCGTGATTGACAGTATGACACGGACCCCCCACCCCACCCCCACCCGACCCCCACCCCACCCCCCACCTCACCCCCCACCCCCCACGGCTAAGGGAGCACTCGTCTCTTGGTGTTCCCCTTTATCCAGGAAACCGGTCCGGCAATTTCCACCGATGGTTCACGCATGTCGTTTCCCAGGGCGGCGACAGCGAGCCGAAGGCGGAGGAGCCTCACGAGGGTGAAATTGGGGGCGCGTTCTTTCTTTGGAGGGGAACCCTATGGCGCCCTTCCCAAGAGGAGACCCTAGACAGAGCGGTGCCTCCGGCACTAGTGGGGCACGAGATGTCTCGAGTTTCGCACCAAAAACCATGGTGCCTTTACTCCAAATTCGGGGACCCTCGGCCTTTGAAACCAACCAAACGGCTCCAACTTTGCTTCGGTCTGATTTTGTCCAACAGATCCCTCGAGGTTTGAACTCGTGGCCCAGGAGACAGCTTCCCAGGATCTGAAGCTTCAGCTGGCAAGTTTCCCTGGGTTTTCGGGTGCCGCTTGGGATGTCTTGTTGGATTTTTTCTAGCCACAACCTGTTGCAACATAATCACTATGGCCACCTGGCCATTTGGGTATGGTTCGAAATTAAACAGGAGGGGTTGCGCAGGGTTTGGTCCATGTTTCCACTTACCAGGGCAGTCCATCTTGGAACTTTCCGGAATTTTGCGCCCCTTGGCCTTTTTTTTTTTCTGTATCTATCTACGGGCGATGGTCCCAGCTTCGCTTCGCCCGTTGAAGCTCTTGACCCGAAGGCCGAAGGCGGCGGTTGGGTGCGGGTGGGTTGCGGGCGGCCGAAAGCTTTCGCAGGAGAGCGAGGCTCCGGCGAAGGTGCGGAGGGTTTAGAGGTTGGATGTCGGAGATGGCAGGGATGATGATCCAGGTGGAGATGTGTTTTTTTGGCCTTGGTACTGCGCTGGGTGTGATATTCAAGGGAAGCAAAGGGAAATCATCCATTTCCAGGGTTCCACCGTTGCAAGAAAAACCAGTGTAAGATAAGGGGCATCTCAGCATCTCTGTACATCAGATTTGCTTGCAAAGAAACATGTCGAGGCTGCCCTTGCTATAGCTTGGATGCCGCCCTAGGGCTTTCGGATGGCACAGTTTACGAATTAGCGTATGCGGTCCGCGGATTGCGGATGACTGGTTGCACAGATTGTTGATGCTGCGGCAGAAGGTTTGGACCCAGAATTGGCAGCGCGGATTTCGGATCAAGGAAATTATCAACCAGAGCAATGTGTATGCGGACTACTGATTGTGTTTAGGCTCCCCGACATTTCGAATAGGCTGTAGCAGAGGCCA